AAAAAAAAATAGAACAACGAGCAAGCAAACCGTAGCAGTGGAAAGACACAAAGAAACTCACTCACCGATTACTGGCGGGCTGGCTGGTTGGCTGGATTCACCGACCGACCGACCAATCGATCGATCGATCGATGATAATGGCCGCCATGATAGTTGCTCATACTGTGGATCAGTGACTTATCCTGCTGAAATGATGGACTGTATCGTTCATATTGACAGTATATTTGGCTTTTTGCCGTGGTAGCTGCAAGTTCTGCGGAGGTAACAAATTACTGCAATTTTTAATTCATCTTAATTCAAATCAAAATTTTTTTAGGTATATGCAAAAACGAGTTGTATGTGCAAAGAGGAGTTGGCAACTTGTGCATAGAGCAAACAGCTTTGTTCGAGTTTGGCATATGAAAAAAAAAAAATAACATTAATCATAGCAAAAAAAAACTGAAATTAACACAAAAGCAATTCAGAATCTATGCTGGTTTCAATTTTCCCCACTTAGCAGATGTCTTTGTTCTGTTCTTTTTAATTTAGTGTTCTTTACATTGAAATGAAAACAGATTTTAAAAGATATTTATTGTCGATTGCAAATGAACAAACAACCTGTCGAATCTGATTAACAGTACTTATACACTGTTTCGTAAAAGTAACTTGTTTGCAAAAGTAATGTACAGCATAACAATAAACTGCTGGAAAATTATGTACTATACTTGCATTTAACGAAAACAAAAACTAAGTCTTCAGAATAGATGAACATTAACAACACCAGCGATAGATGAGAGAACAAAGTTATGTTTCTTCAACTGAACAAAACTTTTTCATAAAAAGTAATTTTTGTAGACGTGGTAGTGGCTCAGATTAATATGTAGAAACTGAAAAAATTAAAGTTTATCAAATGTGGTTATAGTTGTTTAGAATAAGATCTATGATTCTGCGATGAGGTTTCTATATGTATTGGCCATCATTTCTGTTGCCTCATTGTCCCGTTCACTAGGTCGACTGAAAAAATGTTCATTTCAAACGGCCATCTAACACATTGCAAATACTGAACATGGTGAAACTTTTAACTTAAGTAAGTTTTTTTTGATCTTTTTCTCTGTATCATTCTCGTATCAATTAAATTATTGCAGTATTTTCAACTGGAAAACACGCATTTTTGGTCGAAGAAGTTTAACAGCAACAGTAAATACTAATAAGTAAAGCTGTAAATAACACACTGTCATATTTGCATATTTTAAGGCAAATTATAGAAATAAGCTACTTTATGCCAGACGAACGAACTCTAAATATTTTCGATTGTTGGTAGCTAAAATAGGCTAGAATAAGTCGTACCTAGAATAAGTCGTATGCGATAGATGTCAAAAACTACTTTTAATAATTAGAAAACTAACTAGAGAAGTGCAACCTCTAACAGTTGCCTGAAATGCTGCTCCATACAGTGCACTATCAGTTGGAATTCATTCTTTGGACAAAACGTACAAAAACAACAATCCCAAATAGATTCAACACTAAAATCAGCTAATCTTTAACGCCATTTGTTAAAAAATCTTTGGCAAAAAAAAAATAAACAGTATTCATTGCTGTTGTAATTTTACTGAAAGATTTAAGGCTTTTATTGACAGCTATAATTAATTATAAAGTATAACTAGTTCGCTCTTGACGTAAACTTCTTGAACCTCTGTCTTCTTTTAAATGCAACGAAAGAAGACGCCTAGTTTATTGTGGATTATAAGAATAGCTTGAAAATTTTTCTGTTTTAAAATTTTGACTATTAAACAGCAAAATGCTTTGGCAAATAGCTTTAGTTACTCTCTGTGTTGAAATAACTATGTAATACCAGTTTAATGTTAGCAAATTTCTTCATTATTAATGTGCGCTTGACTTTTAAATAATAAAAGTGATTATAAAAATTGTTTTTGCAGAAAATTATGGTAAAATTTTACTATCACTGTGCTTACCATTCCACAGCAGTTTTTGATGTTTCTTCATGAGTCTTTAAAACATGCTTTCGATACGCTACAATTCTGTTGAAATTACTATCACAGTGTTCACAAGCTACATATAAGTTTGTATGTTCAGCTACGATATGATCTTTCAACAGAATTTCCCTGTTGTAACCTCTTCCACAAATACACTGAAAAAGAACTATAGCTATTGAGCAATATCAATTTACCTTGTCGTTACTTTTTTCTTTTTGCACGTCTCATATTGCTTATCTACCAATTATTTAGTCTTTCTTATCATCTGCTAGTAAAAAATTAAAATTAGCGGAATACTGATGAGAGCGCTGGCTCCAGCTACGACTCAGTAAGCAGTATAATGAATCTGTTATATGATTAGTTCTGTAGTTCTGAATTTACATACTTCACGCAGGCAAGTATAGAAAGGAGATTGTCGACAAACTGATTCAGTCTTATCAACAGAATTACTGTTTTTGTTGAAACTGATGTCGTCGGTACAGTCAAATATCTCTAACCGTAAAATATTTTGAACTTCCTTGTACCACACTGATATGCTTCTTCAAATGCTCTTTTATTGCTAAAAGAGCGTCTTCTCCCTTAGCATAAGCTCGACAATAACTGCAGGGATATCCCAGGTAAGATAAGGTTATCATTGGCTCTTGCAGTATATTTTCACTTTTGTGACTGTTAAGATAGAGTAACGCTTTTGCAAGATTACATTGACCCTTGTCGTCAAAGCAATGGTCTTGATACATCAATCCTTAAAAAACTTCTTTGCACTTTTTATATTTTAACAGAGACAATGTACACAGTTACATATTTACTTTTGATAACAACTACGGAGAAACTTGAATTACCATATTTTAGTAAAAGTTTTTTGCAGATTGTCACCGAGACTGTACAACTGTTTATAAATCACTGATTCCTCAAACTGTTTACCTTTTGATGGTAGAGGTATTGCACCAGTTGGATTCGGTAACATATCTGTCAGGTAATTTGGACCTACAAAGAATTTACTGCTAAAATACTTATTTAACAGATGTGTAAATAGTGCTATAACAATACAAATAAATATCTGAAAAAAATTAAAATAAAAATAATTGTCGCAGTACATTAGCATTTTACTTACAACCAAATACTGCAAAAAAATTTTTTTCAAACTGCAGTATTAAAAAATTTACTAGCAGGACGTATTGCCTGTTGTCAACAAAGTTGTACAAACTGCTATAAGAAGAAATAATCAAATTTTGTTAGATTTGGAAAGCAAATATAATGTGAAATTAGTCCTAAGTTTTACAAAGTTTTTTGGCATTTTTGTGTTTATCGAAAAATAGGTATTGGTATGACACTGCTTCCGAGCTTTTCGCTGTAATTACTGCAGTAGGTTCGTCCTTCAGAGTTTATGCTGTACTTCTAAAAACAAGCATTGCAATTAAACAAATAAGTGCTGGTCAGCAGAAACACTAACAAAGCCCATTGAATTCTGTTTGTGTATTCTTAAGACTTTGTATTGGTCGAGAATCCCAATTTGCTGGCCATCTATAAATAAGTTTACAAATTTATTATTGGAAATTAATGAACTGTTATTTATTTGTAAAAATACATGAGTTTGACTGATTAAATAAGAATTGTAACGACGCATGCCTGGTTACAGTAAATTCCATTAGGAATCTGAAGTGAAAGGTGACAAGATGATCCAAAAAATCCATTCGTGTGTAACTTTTACTTTTTTTTGGTGCGCAAATTGGACATTCGTAAATGTTGCATGGCCTAAAATACTGTAAAATTAGATAAATTCATATATCTTCCCCATCATTGCCGTTTTTCAAAAGCTAGATTTAATTACAATTTTATATATATATATATCTTTACGCAAATCAGTCTGACTGAAAATTTCTGGACAAAAAAGAAAACATTTATTTGCAATTTTATAAACGATGCTGAACGATTGCTGTTGTGTGCAAATCATGCAAAGTTTTTAAAGAAATTGCTTTTCTTATACAGAAATTCAGTAAGCGAGGCTTGCATAAAACCGCATATAATTCAAAAAAAAAAAAAAAAAAAAAAAAAAAAAAAA